ATTTGATGATAACAAATCGTGGTACAGTCAGCTGCGTAAATCACTCGAGAAAGAATTTTACAACCGCTTGCCTGAGGGCGTCAGGCTCGTGGTCAACAGAGCTCCACTCATGACACCTGAAGACCTTCGTTTGATTGGAGGGGGGTTATTCGCTGACAACACAACTTTGTCGTTGAAGGATAGAACACTTATCAATTTTCAGTGGGCTGTTGTTGGAAGAATATCAGACATCACAAATCTGGAGTTTTGCTATCTTCTGTGGGTGAATGATGCAATTCTCATTAATATTGTGCGCAAGAAGGTGGCTGAACAGCAGTCATTATCGATACTTTGCTCAGCGCTAATGTGGGAGATAGACCCTTTTCACAGTCTAGCTACTCAGCTGGCCACTGATCCATTCAACCCGTCGTCTCGAGTCTTCCCACAAGTCGCAATAAGCGAGTCAGGTGAGTGTGGTAGCGCTCACACCAACAAAGTGCTAGCTGCATTGCCAACAAGCTCTAGCTGTGGTGGCCAATTAACGCCTGGCTTACGAGCACACTCAGCTCGCCGTGGAGCTGCTACGCATGCTGCATCAAACAGTGGACTGAGTTTAGCTGATGTCGCGCATCGAAGCAAGTGGAGTATGGAGCAGATGTGTAGTACGTCCACGAGACGAAAACAGTAGACACAGTTAGGGAAGCTGGCACTTCCGAACGTTTAGCCGATTGTATTGCTTACTGAGTAGAAAGCAAAAGGTAAAGTGACTAGACTACTCTGTTTCCAAATCCTGTTATCGCTACAGCGAGCAGGACAGCCTCCTGGCACTGCCAGAGGCTCGAGCCTAGTAGTTGCAACTGCAACTGCAAGGACTGCCAGCTGGTAGTAAATGCAACTTGCATTCACTCCAAAGTGCAATGAGGGCAAGGCTTTCAACCTGAGCCCCACGCTACAATTCCCTCCCAAGCCTTGCTCACAACTTGCAAACAGGCAATATGGGTATTTTCAAGTTACTATATTGCAACGTCAGTTTGGTACACTGTACCACTATTTTGGGACACTGTACCATAATCCAAATTTCATTTTTCCTCATGCCTACAACCACACAGGTTGAGTCATGGATACACAAGCCACTGACCTTGTACGTCTCACTACTTCAAGGCAACTGCCGAAATAGTAATGACTTTGCTCACACTGTGACTGCCAACTTGGCACATGAAGATCTCTAGCTCGAGGTCAGCTTCTGTAAAGCTGTCGCCAACTTGGCATCCTCGGCAGCTTCCACGTAGGTACGTATTAGCACGGGGATATCCTGTGCTAGAGACTTCAAAGGCTCCCATGAGTCCTCTATGGGCTCTAAGCCGCACCAACTCACTAGGAGCTCAAAAGCCTGGTTCTGTTCGTTCCAACGGTGCTTGTTAAGTCTGTCAACCTTCAACACAATGCCCTGGGAGGCGACGTGCTCCAGTAGCGCCTCCGTAACTTCCAGGTCGCTGTCCGCGTAGAACTTCAAGTGTGAAGCATGCACATCTTGCTCCTTGCCGGTAACGAGGTGCCGAACACGAAACAAATGAGAGTCCGCACGGGTAACTAAGTAGGGACCGATCCAGGTGACTAGCAACTTGTTGTGTCGTCGCTCATCGACACGTGATCGTAGGACGTAATCACCCGCAGAAAAGTTTACTTCTTGTGCACCTCTGGATTTTCTCTTGTTCAGCAACGTGATCTTCTCACGCTTGTCCTTGACGGCACAGTGCATGTCCTCAATACTGGACCGTAGTTTCGCCAGAGAATTCTCGATGACTGCACTCGAAATATAGACTGCCTTAGGTTGCTCTTCAGGTACATGCAGGATGTAGGCTGGCGCTGGGCATGACAAGCCAGTGAATACCTCAACAGGGGCCTTGTTAGCTAGAGAAGCCACCGGAGAGTGATTCATGTTAGCTTGCACCAAAGGTATAAGATAGATCCAGTCGTTGTGCAAAATCTTGTACTCCATAATCATTGCACGTAGCACTTGCAGTATATCTCTGTTTGCACGTTCCACAGATCCATTGATCCACGGACTATCCGCCACTACGAACGGCTGATCACATTTCAGTCGCTTGCATAATTTGGCAAGAGCTTGGTTCTTGAAATGCGAGCCACTGTCACTGACCCATACAGGCGGTACACCGAACCGACTGTGCCACCCAAGCAGGCCATCAACTGCAACCTCACTTGTTGGTGTATCACACGCAATCAACTCGCAGAAATGGGCAAAGTTGTCCTTCAGCAGTAGTAGGTACTTGCATGAGCCAAATTCATCACCCAAAGAAAGAAAATCCCAGTGTAAAGCTCCATTGCGAATGTCAGAGCGGTACAGTTCACGCCATGGTCTAGGCACCACCCTACCTCCTTTTACATGCTGACAGAGCAAGCAGGAGCGCAGGAAACGACGAACTAGAGCAGAGTTCCCTCAATCGAAAATACACGGCGAATGTGGTTCAAGACCACGGCTTCACCACGGTGACCCTGTGTCCCACAATGAGCGATGATCAGGAGTCGCTGGATGAAAGCCGTGGCAGCAGTAGGTATCCAAATACAAACATCAAGTCGGTAGACACCATGTCCATCTGCAGCACTAGCAGTAGGAGCAGAGGCTACATGAGGCGGCTTGGG